ATCAGCAGTTCCTCGATTGTGATGCAGGCATTCAACTCCGGACGCCGATTTTCGCACCTTATTCGCCCGCAAGAGCGGCTGGTACATTGGTCGGAACAGGAACCGGCGGAAGGGTTTTCATGTACCAAGAAGAGAGTAACACGGATGTCCTGGCCACTGTGGTTGCCTGGGGCCTCGCAGTATCGTCCACCTTCACCATGGAGATCCACACAAGCGTCTCCTGCGCCAATCCTGGTGCCATCTACAATCCACTGAATGTAAGTGTATTATACAGTGGCTCCCACTTATGGTTGCCTGGGGCCTCGCAGTATCGTCCACCTTCACCATGGAGATCCACACAAGCGTCTCCTGCGCCAATCCTGGTGCCATCTACAATCCACTGAATGTAAGTGTATTATACAGTGGCTCCCACTTAAGAGACCTGCTGCCACATAAAGGAATTTTTGCCTAACAAACCAACTCTGAACTCTGAAGGCATTTTTTCCTCCTGCCCAACAGAAAAAATCCACTCAACAGACTTGCGTTGGTTTAAAATTATTGTTGACAAAAGTTTTACTGTTCAATATAATTGAATTTGTCTGAAGGACTTTTTGTCCAACAGACTTGTCCATTACACAAATCAAGTTCATTATGGACAGGGGTTGACACTACTATAGCTGTTCACCTCAAATTTGCTCATTCACTGTGCAAGTATATTCTTGAGCAGCACAAATTGTTCTCCAAGTTCCAGCAAAAAAATGTATAGGATGCAGATGTCCATCCCGCAAAATCTTAATACTAATTAACAATAAACCAGAAACTGCAAAAATGCAGTACAACAAATCACAATGTTCCAAAAAAGTACCTCTTTCAATAATTGTATTTTCCAGAAGTAATCAAGATTTCTAACATTGGAAATACTGTATTTCCAGCAGTCCCCAGAGAAGAAATATTGCCTCATTAAATGTGAAAGGAAATGGAAGCATGTTCAAAAGTGTTTCATGACCTTACCCAAAGAATATAACTGAAGTCCTTGAATACAAAATTTACTGGAGTACTGTACCATGCACAATGCACCCTTGAGTATAAAACTCAACCAAGATTTTGCATTCTAGAATTGTGATTAAATCCCTGAGGAAGATATGCACCCCATTTTCAGCAATTAAAGCTGCAATATTTCAAAAAGAACACCCAAATTTTAAATCCAGTTGAACCTCTCCAAGTCAAATTTCTAGGGACCAAGAAAAAAATGTGACTTCAGGAGGTTTCAATTTTTGGAGGTTTTGAGTTGAGGAAACAAACATTTTTGCCACAAGGAAGAGTAAAAAATTGTGTGGATTTGTAAATTAGGATATTCTGGGCCTAAAATTGCTTCCTCATGAGTTCACAGCTTGCTGGACTTAGATGTAGGGGTTCATTTGTTCAATTAGTCTTTCATTTCATTGCAACATGCAAAAAACCATTTGTTATATTGATTTTCTCTTACATATTTCAAGAAAATAATAAACAAAAGGCCTAAGAAAATTTGAATGACATAGGTTTGAGAGAAAAGAATTTGAGTTAGGGAGGTTTTCAATGCATTGTTTCTAAAGGAATCCAGACAAGGACTTCAAGTTAGGGATTTATTCAACTTAAGGAGGTTCAACTGTAATGAATGAATAGAAGCTGCATTTTAATAAATGCTTTCCATTAAAATAAGTTTTCTGAATAAACTGTGTCCAAAATTTCTGATTAGAATCAAGTACTGTATAATGCAAATCTTAAGTTCCAAAACTTTTTTGAAAATGTTATACTGGCCATGATTTGCACCCCATTTTTTACCTCTCAGTTTTGGGAAAATAAGTTCACATGGTACCCAAGTACTGTAAATACAGTACAGTAATCTGGGTTAAATCCCTTTACCAATGACAGACACTGGTGGACTCTCTCCACAAAAAAAAAAAAAATTCAAGGGAGCAGTTATAGTTTCTTGTAGAGAGCCCCCTTTGAGATGGGTAGAGAACCCTCTGAGATCAGGGAAATTTTGATGTACAGTGACGAGAAAATCGTTGTCCCACATGTACCAAGTACTGAACTCAGTGGCACACACAAATACTCAACCATGGCCTCTACACTCGCTCATTGCCACTATGTCGGACTCGAATTTCAACATGTCGCCCCCTTATTATGCACTTGCGCAGGTTGATCGCGGGGGCTTGGTCACCCCAACAACCGGAGCAACTTCCGACGCCAACGGACTGATGGCGTTCGTGCGGAAAAATATTCCTCCCACGCAAGTGAATCTCTTTGCAAATAACAACATCATCGGTCNACTGGAAAGTTTTCACTTATTGTCTTGCATTATCTAAAAACTTTCAAAAAAATCTGAAAAACTCCCATAACCTTAAAATTGTATGAGCTAAATGTTATATATTTTTCAAAGTGGTACCTTAGTCTAGAAATACCCAAGGTCAATAAAAAAGGGACAACCTTTGTATATATACACTGGAAGTATATTTCCGGAAATCAGCAGTTCCTCGATTGTGATGCAGGCATTCAACTCCGGACGCCGATTTTCGCACCTTATTCGCCCGCAAGAGTGGCTGGTACATTGGTCGGAACAGGAACCGGCGGAAGGGTTTTCATGTACCAAGAAGAGAGTAACACGGATGTCCTGGCCACTGTGGTTGCCTGGGGCCTCGCAGTATCGTCCACCTTCACCATGGAGATCCACACAAGCGTCTCCTGCGCCAATCCTGGTGCCATCTACAATCCACTGAATGTAAGTGTATTATACAGTGGCTCCCACTTAGGAGACCTGCTCCCACATAAAGGAATTTTTGCCTAACAAACCAACTCTGAACTCTGAAGGCATTTTTTCCTCCTGCCCAAAAGACAAAATCCAGCACCCAACAGACTTGTGTTGGTTTAAAATTATTGTTGACAAAAGTTTTACTGTTTAATGCAATTGAATTTGTCTGAAGGACTTTTTGTCCAACAGACTCGTCCATTACAAAAATCAAGTTCATTGGACAGGGGTTGACTTTACTATAGCTGTTCACCTCAAATTTGCTCATTCACTGTGCAAGTATATTCTCAAGCAGCACAAATCATTCTCTAAGTTCCAGCAAAAAAATGTATAGGATGCAGATGTCCATCCTGCAAAAACATAATACTGATTAACAATAAACCAGAAACTGCAAAAAGGCAGTACAGTACAACAAATCACAATGTTCCAAAAAAGTACCTCTTTCAATAATTTTATTTTCCAGAAGTGATCAAGATTTCTAACATTGGAAATATTTAAGCAGTCCCCAGAGAATAAACATTGCCTCATTAAATGTGAAAGGAAATGGAAGCATGTTCAAAAGTGTTACATGCTTCCCCAAAGAACCTTACCAAAAGAATATAACTGAAGTCCTTGAATACAAAATTTACTGGAGTACCACGCACAATGCACCCTTGAGTATAAAACTCAGCCAAGATTTTGCGTTCCAGAATTGTGATTAAATTGTATCCCTGAGTAAGATATGCACCACATTTCCAGTGATTAAAGCTGAAATATTTCAAAAAGAACACCCAAATTTTAAATCCAGTTGAACCTCTCCAAGTCAAATTTCTAGGGACCAAGTAAAAACTTTGACTTCAGGAGGTTTCAATTTTTTGGAGGTTTTGAGTTGAGGAAACAAACATTTTTGCTGCAAGGAAGAGTAAAACATTGGGTGGATTTGTAAATTAGGATATTCTGGGCCTAAAATTGCTTCCTAATGAGTTTGCAGCTTGCTGGACTTAGATGTAGGGGTTCAATTGTTCAATTAGTCTTTCATTTCATTGCAAAATGCAAAAAACCATTTGTTACAGTGATTTTCTCTTAAATATTTCAAGAAAATAATAACCAAAAGGCCCAAGAAAATTTGAATAATGGAGGTTTGAGAGAAAAAAAATTTAAGTTAGGGAGGTTTTCAATGCATTGTTTCTAAAGGAATCCAGACAAGTACTTCAAGTTAGGGATTTGTTCATCTTAAGGAGGTTAAACTGTAATGCATGAATAGAAGCTAAATTTTAATACCATTAATTAATACCAGCCATTAAAATAAGTTTTCTGAATAAAGTGTGTCCAAAATTTCTGATTATAGAATTGAGTACTGTATAATGCACATCCAAAGTTCTAAAACTTATTTGAAAATGGTATACTGGCCATGACTTGCACCCCATTTTTTACCTCTCAAGTTTTGGGAAAATAGGTTCACATGGTACCCAAGTACTGTAAATACAGTACGGTAATCTGGGTTAAAATCCTTTACCAATGACAGACACTGGTGGACTCTCTCCAAAAAAAAAAAATTCAAGGGAGCAGATATACCGTAATTCCTTGTAGAGAGCCCCCTATGAGATGGGTAGAGAACCCTCTGAGATCAGGGAAATTTTGATGCACAGTGAAGAGAAAATCGTTGTCCCACCTGTACTAAGTACTGAACTCAGTGGCACACACAAATACTCAACCATGGCCTCTACACTCGCTCATTGCCACTACTTCGGACTCGAATTTCAACATGTCGCCCCCTTATTATGCACTTGCGCAGGTCGATCGCGGGGGCTTGGTCACCCCAACAACCGGAGCAACTTCCGACGCCAACGGACTGATGGCGTTCGTGCGGAAAAATATTCCTCCCACGCAAGTGAATCTCTTTGCAAATAACAACATCATCGGTCGGACTATCATCCTCAGGAACGCAGCAGGAGCCACAGTGTCTTGCGCCCCGCTCATCATCGGCTGATACTTTCATACGTCGGGAGGTATTTCTTCTCGCACGAAAGAATATTGCCGAATCCGCGATTTGCCGTCATCCTTCAACAACGGAAAACGCGGTATTGTGTCGCGATTCTAAATTATTGTTCACACAAAATCATTTCTTGAATTCGTACGAGATCGCGATCAACAATCTTTCGTGGAAATCCCCCAAGTGCATCCCAACCAGTTTGAAAGTGTATTTTGAAAAAAAAAAAAAGAAATAAGGGCGAACAGCGGAATAAACAAAGCATGTGCGGTTTAAATAAAAATTTCTTCCCATTCAAAAAGCTCTGGCATATCATTCCGGAACACAGCACTTCTCAAACCAGAATGAGTGAAGATCAAGCATTCCGCGTTCTACCCAATAAAAAAAAAATGTTTTTGACAAATATACAACGCGTAATTGCAGGAAGTTCTCAATGCGCGTGAGATTTTCGAGAAGTATTTATTGCTCTCTGGTGTGTATATCGTTGAGACAATTCTCAATGAAACACTTCCACCAAGAAATCCATACAAACCGCGCCAATGAACTGATTCACTAATTATCATTGCACTTTTATTTAAAACTTGGATTGATTGATTGATTGCAGATGGCTAGTAACATTGAAATTCCGTGTTTACTTGCAGGAGGAACCCTAAATAAAAAAGGAGGCATTAAAAAATAAGATCACAGAATTACGGCAATACGGGTAAGTCAAAAGACAATCGATCTAAATCCAAATGACTAAATTACATCAACTGTAGAACAAACAGAGAAAGTATGCACACTTGAACGCATGTGCGATTCCTGAAAATCTCAGGCTACTCGGAAAACTTCCCCCCGCATACATTCCCCCACTGATAAGTAGCAATGAATCCTTTCAGCAATCCATATCTTCTTCCACCACGCAAAAAAAAAAAAAGGTGATGGGATCAACATAAAACAGAGACCAATATCCCTTCCCTAGATTAAACATGTTCCTCTGTGCAAATCGCATTCGATTCCTCCGCACATTCACCCTCTTCAACAGGGCACGCCTGCTCCACAATCACAATGGGCAACACAGAGTCGCTCTCAATCACAACAGGCAACAACGCATTCCTTTCTTCGTCCGCATCCTCCTCCTCTTCTTCTTCCTCCACACTTCGGTGGCTCTGTGGAACAACAACGCGTTCCGGAGAACGGCCATCTGGCGGAGTGTAATACCGCGACGATTCGTCATCGTCGTCGTCGTCCATGTCAACACCGTCAACTTCCGGAGGCTCGGCGACGATTTGGTCCAGGAATCTGAGATCGATTTCCACGTCGTCGATGTCAAGGTCGTCGTCGTCGTCGATGCGTGTTCGACAGGCATCTGGACGCAAGTCGGGCATATTCTCGATGATCTTATTGAAGGTCTTCTGCTGGATTTTGTAGGTCTCGCGGAGGCGAACCATTTGCTGACCGGTGTAACGACGCACCCGCAAACGGCCTTGCATATAGCTCTCGTGCACCCAACCCATTTGTTGAGCGGAATATTCTCTCAAGCGTTTTACCTGAAGAAGAAAAACACGGAACATTCAGTTCTTTGACAGAATTCGAACACATTGATAATCGAGTCAACATTGGGAAATTCTCAGTTCATAGAAGAGCGAATTTCGAACAAAGCTGAATATTACAGCATGAAAAAATCAAGAATAGCTCATGCGACAGTTCGCAAAGAGACATCCAACGATGACTTTTTGCACAAAAACCGCTGAGTATTTTCTTCACTTTCATCGAGGGAGAAATGTAGATCGACATAAAACAAGAAGAGGAGTGAATACTCGAAAAATTACAGTTCGAAGTAAAAACAATAGGGCAGCAGTATCTCACATAAAAACCTACACAGAGATCCAGTCAACCCTGTTTCATCACATTGGCAATGCACAAGCACACAGTATAAATTCAAACTCGCATTACTGTACTCGGAAAAAATGCGATTTTCGACTGCCAGTGACATCTGACCGCCTTAAAACAATCTTCACGGCACTGTACAAGACGGAACTACGCAGTATCTATTCGGACATCCTTCGCAAATATACCGTTCGAATTTTGTCTGACAACACTGTCTCTAGCAACGATTCTGCACATTAGAATGGTTCAAGCGAACTTCCAGTACCAAAAAGACACGTACACTCCTCACCTGATCGTAATAAGAACCCTTCATCGCACCCAGCTGATGGGATCCGTAATCGCGAATATCTCGCAAGTTCTGCATCTGTCCAGAGTAACCATCCCTCAAACGATCCATTTGCGACGTGCAATTGTCCACAACTCGTTGGCGCTGTAAATTTCCAACGAATGCAATAAATAGACAATTACAAAATACTGTCGGCATCCGAATATCAGTCAGCATTATCGAACATGATTCTCGAAGAAGTACCGTTCTCTTTTTGAATTAAAAATAGGCATATCTCTGAAAGCTTGGCATCTTCTCGGAAACAGACATAATTTAAGGTCACCTAATAACCAGTATTGCGCAAAAGCCCGATTTGATGGTTCTGGCTGCAGGTATCCTAGTTTGAAAATTTGCTCCCATTTTGTCAATATTAAAATACCTTCATTGCTGTACTGTATAGTAAAGCAGATATAAATAAATAAATTAATACAAATGGCACGATTTGGTTCGCGAACGCTTTCATATTATGGAAGTGCATTAAAAATGCAATCGACAGAAACAAAATTCATATTGAATTAAATAATTGGAACATATTCTCCTGATAAAAATTCCCTAACTGCGACAGGCACAGTCTAACATTTCTTTTTCAAAATATGACTGACTGGTTCTTGCAGCATGAATGAAAGCTTTAAACAAGGAAAAACTACGCCCAAGTTGTTTCACACATTATCCTCTCAGGATGAAGAGTTCTGCTCGCTGGGGATAAACGAAAATTGTTTTCTTAACACTTGAGAAAAAGTATTTTGCATACTTTTCTGCTCTACTTGATCTTTTCTTGGCTCCCCAAAAAATGGGTATCGACAAAGTGAAAAGACCAAAATTTTCCCGTTTGAGATGGTAAATATTTGCGTGGGCTTGAATGCCTGAAAAATAATGTATCTATCATAGGTAGACAACGCAATTATGCAGCTGAAGAAATTTATTATCAGGGTCAAGTTTTTGTTTTGCTGCGAACTGTTTTTCGAAGATTCAAACAAAATTACAAGTCTGAAAGTGCAAGGATGAGAAGATCTTGATTAGAATATAGGCATCCGGTCTGATGTGAACAAATTCCGGTCATTAATTGTAAAAATCTAATAACAAATTATCCAGTAAAGCAAACCCTTTCTGTGGCCCCCAGAAGTTAATTGAAACGATATTTTCCTGCATTTGCGAAATGACTAAAATTGAATGATTCTGATTGCAGGAAACACAAATAAATAAAATAAAATCCATCATCTTCTGGTTCACCTTGTATTAAACATCAAATCAATTGGCCAACTTAAATGTGAGAATCATATTGTCGCAAGAAAAATTAAAGCTGATTATATATTGTACGATACTTCGAAAGTTCGAAGACATCGCAGGGAAAACTGAGTATTGACAGGCAACATATTTAAAATCACTAACCTGCATTCCGTAACTTTCTCTGAGCCACTCCATTTGCTGACACCGATAAGCTTCCAAGGCCTGTATCATTTTGCCAACCCGCTTGGCCCTCGGCGAGATATTATCAGAACAACAACATCCCCAACGATCCACCATCATCCTCGCCAGCTGAACGATCAACACCAGCAAGAAAAACGACACGCTAAAAGATGCCCCCGTAATGATACTCGAGAGCTCGAGGTCCAACATATTCTCATGATGCATGTGCACGCGAAACACGTGACTGTCGTTGGAGAATCCGTTGTCCACTACGCAATGGTAAAAACCCACGTCGCGTCTATTGAAATCGTGAACAACGAGTCGTCTTCCATTCTTGTCGAGCACAAACCGAGAGAAAGCTTCCGGCTTCGCAACAGGTTCCACGACATCTAGATGAAGCGTCGGATGATGCACGAATTCACTCGAATTGTCCGGACTGAACCAATGCAACACTAAATTCTTCGGAGTGACCCACGTAATGGACGCCGCGGGATCATTCGGATCGCACGTCAAAATGGCCGCGTGTCCGGAGCGAACCGGACCATTGCTCGACGTGGCATTCACTGTCACTGGAACACAGTTTAATTCAGACACAACCTCCACGATTTCTCCACCACTGAATTCACAAACAGCGCCAGTCACTTTCGCTCCCCCAGAAGACATCGCATTCGCGAAGGCTTTTGCACCGCAGTCGCAAATAATGTCATTCCCCGAGACGTCCAAAGACTTCAGGGTAATTATTTTCGAAATAACCGACATCGGGATTCGCCGCAGTGCGTTGGAGCGTAAAATCAAGTCGACAAGGTTGCCGGGAAGAGAGGTCAACGACAGATCCATTCCGGGGTTTGAAGATAAATCCAACACCTTCACGTGATCGTTGAAACACTTTTTCGGCAAGCTACCTCGCCAGTCGTTTCCCTGCATACGAATCTCCTCTAGATGTGAATTTGAGAACACTTTGCACAGATCCATCATGTTCAGGCGGTTGTTCGACAAATCCAGTGTTCGAAAATTGCGTGACGCGGATGACACGATTTTCCGGATCCATTCAACGTTGTCCAATCTGTTAAAAATAACAGTTGAAACATTTATTTCCCAAGAGCTGAAGCTGCAATAACAAGTCTTTCAAGTTAATACGGAGACTGGTGGATATTTACCCGCACGAATGCAGAACCAACTTCTGTAGTTTCTTCCCGCCGGAAAAACGCACGACTTCCCCACTTAAATCCGTATTCTTGATCATCAAAACTTCGACGCTCTGCAGGAGAGACTGAGCAAGGACGTGAGAACCTTTCGCGTGGTTCAGATCCAAACTGATTTCTCTCAGATCCTTGAATTTCTTCAGACATGATAAATCAACGGAAGTTGAGGCAGACAACTGCAACGACTTCACCGGCAACTGCGGGTCCTTGGAGCAAAACGTGTCCAAGGATTCCTGGGACGAGCAGGAAATGTGCCACGCATTGTCATGTTCGGTCGTCACGCAGTTCGCGACATCTTCTACTGCTACTGCGCTCGAGAAATCATCATGAACACACACGACACCGGTCACGTAGAACAGATAAACCGCAAGGCACGTAAAAGCGACTCGCTCCATGCCATAGAAGATCTAAGGATACAGAAAAAAAAGTTTCGTTCGTGAAATAGACATCGAAACACTCAGATGATAAAATCTCTTGGCACTTCCTTGTCGTAGGTGCTCTTGCAAGATGGTAACTCTGAGTCTTATCCATTTAGTTGTAACAATTTTAAATAAGTGACAAAATTCAACTTGGCTTCCAAGCTCAATACAGCAATGCTTGAGTGAACAGACCTCAGCTGAAGGAAACGATCATTTCTCATCATTTCCAATAAAAACTTTTAGGGAGTCATTTTGAAATAAAAATACCCTTTTGTACATTAACTACTTCAAGAAATACTGGGTATGACAAAAAACAACATCTATGAAAAACAGGTGCAGATAATGGTCCTCGTTGAACTTCTATACACGAACTACTGTACCGTACCTTGTACAAATGAACACTTCTAATTCGACGAAAAATTTTTTACTGATTTTATTCATACAGGGTCCTAGACATCAAAATTTATTCCAGTTTATACTCAATTAACACGCACGCATTTGTCCAAAAACTCAAGTCAAGAAAAACGTGGATATGTACAGAAATAATGGAAACGATCATCGGCTTATAGGAGTCTCATTTTAGAAGTAATTTTCTTCCACATGCGCGAATATTATTTGATTAAATAGAGTATGTTTCACTGTTATAGATACATACGTGCAACAAATTTGAAATTGATGAAAAGATCGGAAAAGGGGGAACATCCCGTTTGCAAGTTTTGTATACTATGCGAAGTGGAAGAAAAATCAATAATTCATTTTCTCGATTACTTCGCTTAGAGGGGAGCTACTTTCTTTATTACACAAGCTGGAGTTGGAGCATTGACCTTCGGAATTTTAAAATGAATTAATGTGTTTGCTGTGCTGATTTGAAGACTAGAATCATCTTCGACTAATCCAAAATCCTCACGACCCAGAGTTACCATAGCTGCTTGCAGATGCATATCCAACAAAGAAACCAACCAACTCTTCGCACCCAAGACACTTCGCTTAAAATACAGGTCATTCCAAACTATTTATCGTCTCTGCTCGTCAACAGTTCTGTCTTGAACAGGGTTCAAGAATTTTAAATTAGAAGTGCGTCAAAATCTGAAAAAAACGCAAATCGCACGTCACGCGACAGTAAACAAAATGAATAAAATACATATCTGATTCCGAACAAAAAAACAAAACAAAAAAGGATAAAAAAAAACCAACCCAAGATCCTTGTGCGAGACTCTCAATACATAAGCTGTTTCAAACAAAAAAACCGCAAGCTACCGTTGGCCTTCCTGCCGTGTTCTCCAAAAGAAAAAAATTAAAATAAAACTCAAAATACCACACGGGAGATCGGACGAGTTAGAACGCGACGGAAGACCCGAATGAATACTTTCTTCGAATGCGCTCGAGTTTAGAAGCAGCCATTAAGGAAGCGGCAGTATCACAAATCGCGGAAGCTCAGACAGAGAAGGGGAAAAAACATAAAAAATAAACAAAGGTGGGGGAATCGTCACAAAATACACGATGCGTCTCATTGCTGGGGAATGCGGATTAAAACACGCCATCGCACTTTGGTGAGCTGCTGCTCCAGTCTTGTCCATTGCAACTGAAAGCGTCGCCGAATTCCGAAACGTGTCGGAATGCTTCCCTCAATCTGAAAGCGAAGTATGGAAAAAGGTTATTTCGCACCACAAGAACGAGCGAGAATACTACGTTCGACCATAAAAAAAAAGCTCACAGGTTTTAAGCTGTAAAAAAATATTGCTTTCCTGCTCACGGTATGAAATGGGGAAAAATTATAAATTAAGTGTATTTCTTTTTCATCACAAGATGCTCACTTTCAAGATTTTAGTAACGTTACTATGACCAGTTCTTCATAATAAAAAAAAACAAAGGAAATAAATGACCATCATATTTCTGAATTGGCCCGAAGAGAAAGTTGTCATGCATTTTCAAAAACGGTCAATACACACGCGTTTCTTCAGTTAAGCTGACTGTTGAACGACTAGCGAAGAGGCAATATGAATTTATGGTTGAGTGATATTTCAGAGAAATCACAGAATTACCAGAATTCACATGTAACTTCGTCAAAAATCTACATTTTTTTCGCAGTTCTGAGAGAAAAAAGACCTGTTCCTCAAACATGTTCGCTATTCTGTCTTTTCTTTTCCGTCAATGTGGCAATCAACAATGAAAATTGTACTAAAATCTAAAATGTTTGCTTCTTTGATCTGTGCCCTGAACTACTCACAAAAGAGCAGTTGTATAATAAACAACAAGTCTGAGAAGAGGAACGGTATAAAAGAGTAAAATTTTTATTTTTAAAATAGTTTTCAGATTTACTGTATTGTTACGAACGTAAATTTAAAAGACGTTCAGGCCTGCGACCCTGCTCATTTGCTTCCTCGACTCATCTTGACAAAATCACAAATTACCAATAGCGAAAAAATGACCAAATTACCTCTGTTTATTGGGTAGGCACTGATTCACGACTGAGTCGATTTCTTCCTGTTTTGCTTTCGCAGAACCGCAGAAAATATTCGCAGCTGACGTAAAAAAAATCCCAAATGGATCAAAAGGCACTCCGGGTTGCGGAAGCTCAGCCTCTTCTTCCAAAGAATCATCGAGGGACATCATGGCGAGATTCAGCCCTCCAATGTCTTTGGCCGTGCAGTTCATCACACTATCCACCTTTCAACCCAAAATAAATTGATAAAGTTCATACGAGAAAACACGAAACAAAAGCACGACTTACGACAAGCGGAAGGTCAGTGATTTCGGCTAAGGATTCATTCACACAGGTTTGTATGGGCGAAATGTTCAACGTCATTGCACTGGACGGGAATTCGAGGATGCCCTCTGCTGAGTAGTGTACACCAATTTCGTCCACAGCCGATAGCATTGCCCGCGCCATCATGACTCCAACGCTGCCATAAATGAACGATCTTGAAAAAAGAGAGAGAAACAAAATTGATTAATTCAGCACAAACAGTACACGAACAACTGCGCCGACAAAATTTACTTCAAATGCACAGTTTGAAACGTAACTTGTCGATTCCACGTCAATGCTTCTACTTCTGTTTAATATGAAGTGAGTCTGATCTTTCAAAATCATAATTAAGGATGGAAAATTCGGTTCTCTCACTTTAAAATCCTACGACATCTATTCCGTGATTTTTTTTTGAACGTGAATGTCGCAAAATACTGTCACATCTCTCCAGACTTGAATACAATCATTTAAGAACAGTGCTGCAAAATCTTTTCAAACTCGTGGAGTTCTTAAAATATAAATTTCTTAGGCGGCTGTTCATAAATTCTTCCAGTTAAAAATTTTTATCTGTTTGTAGTTCTATTTCTTAGTTAGGCTCTCATTTTATAATACTGTACGTACTTCGTGATCATCGTACATGTAGCCCATCGTATTAAATGTAGCCCAATTTGTGATACCCGTCTGACATTCTGGAAAACGTTGTCGCGCATTAACGTGATAAGAACATGTAATTCAATGATTTAAAAAACATACTTCGTGAAAAGGTTCCTAAATTTGAGATTATACGACCGTTCAAAATCGTGATCACAAGGAATAGACTAAATTCGACAGTATAAATCTAAATTTTAAAAATAACTCATCCTTCCGACCGAATTCCGTCGCAAACACATCCAGAAACGTTAAATTTCAACGCCTTCACAGATGAACAAACTAACCGCGGATAATTTCCGTCGAAAAACGGAGTTTGAAGCAGCTCAGCCGGAACAACTAGAACATAAAAGAAAAAAAATGACAGTCCATCTGCAGTTTTTTCACCGATGCAAGTACAAATTTTGAGACTCACTGAGAAGATTTGATCGATGCACATACACAGGAACACGTGAAAGCAACTCTTCGCGCCAACGCAAGTCATCCGTTGGACGAATGAGAGCCTCTTGTTCGACGAAACGTTTGTACTCGTCTCCATAAAAAATGTTACGGTAGAAACCGTTCTTTTGAACTGTCAGTCTTTGGTATAAACTTTCGAGGTACTTCTTTTCCATCATGTTCTCGGGGTACCCAACTTGAAGCTTCATACTTCTCAGCTGAAACAAAAACACGTTAATTCAAACTATTATATAAATTTTGAGTTCAGTTTGGTAAAACCTTAGTAATGAAGCTCTTTTTCGTCTCCTCTTCAAAACCGCTTCCGCCTTCAACTTCCGAACTCAGGACACTCTTCAGCCGAGCGAAAATCTTCTCAACCTGAAAAAAACGTAAACCAATAAAATTTTTAGGTAATTGTCCTGACCTTCGATTTCTAAACCTGAGCACTCAGTCATTCTGATAAAATAATGTGCAGAAAAAAAGAATCTTATAGCAAAACAAAGTTCAAGCCGCCGTTTCAAATCTTATTTTTAACATAACGGCCGGAATTTTGTTTTACTGTATTTATGTTAGGTAGACAAGTGGGGTTTTCTTTCCACCAACGTTAATTTTTTAGATTTAATCCGATTTTACAAATTTTCAATTCATCAGGTCGAACAGTGGACAAAAGGAACCGCCGCAGAACATTCTGTTTGATTGAAAAAAAAAGGATTACACAACAGAATTGTTAGTTATCATGTCAATATTGTAAATGAAAATCTTGGATGGGTGTTAAAATAGAAGGGAACTGAAATTCTTACGGCTTCTTCCGAAGATCTTCTATTTTCCATATTCTTATAGAATATGGATTTCAGCGCATGTCCGAAAACATTCTCCAGGGCTTCAGTGCAGAAATCCCATCGCGTTTGCTGCGCGTCGGCACCTGAAATCACAAAAGCCTTTCTTTAAAATGGGTTCCCACAAAAGAATCACAGGAATTCTAACTCACCTGTGATTTTGGTGGAGTATAAATCATACAAAGCTCGGTATTCTTTGGACAAGAAAGGGGACATCTTGGCAGCAAGCTTCCACATCAGAAAATTATTCAGTCCCCTGCAGAAAAAAACAGTTATGTATTCAACATAGAATGTTTCGTGAATCCCACGAGATTACAGAAACGCACTGCATGTCATTCGCTGAGAACATTTGCGACACGTCCTCGACAAACTTCTCCGAAACGATGAGTACTTCGGTATTTTGGTTCACACCAGCGTCAGGGTACATCTCTCTGATGATCTCGAGCCATTGAACCTGAAGCCATAGCAATAGAAGAAATTAATCAATATCAAGCTCAATTATAGAAGATTTACCCAACATTATGATCAGATTAATTTTTTTATTTAAAAAATGGCACGGATTATCAAATGAAGCAATGAGAATTACACAGAATTATATTCGCGAAAAATATAAGTAAAATTTTAATTTTATTGACTCAGGCGACAACGGCCACTCTTCGCAGAACTGTTTTCTGTAAATTTTTGCACACCCAATCCTTACTGAACACTTCTATCTTCTGGAATTCATCGCCACGCTGTGAAGTTCATAAAAAGTACTAAGGGACTTGAAATGTTCCCGTCAGACAGTCGATGTCTTCGCACGTTCTTCTGAGCCAAAAATTTCACGCCTCAATCACAAATTCACACTCACGCCGTTTGCTTTGGTTCTAAGTTCGCCCAAAGTGAGACGATGGTACGCCAAGACGGGATTCGAATACTCCTGTCGCAGCGGCATCAATTCTACGATTCGTTTCTCCAAGTAAAAAATATTCAATGCGAACTGCTTCGCATCCGGACCAGGAGCACCAAGTTCTTTCACAGTGTCTTCGATGTATTGTATGTAGTCGGTCAGCAGCTGCATAAAAGAAAAACACTTGAATCACGTGTGAGGTAATTTTTCAATACATTATTTAAATTCAATTACGATCCAAAAGATCTAGTATGTAATGAATACAAAATTCTTCGGGCTTGAAATTATCAAACTTTTTTGCAAATGAACTTCCCGTCAATGAAATGATTATATCAGTTCATTTTCATTTTCATTGAACAGAAGATCCAGGAATAACTTCAATTTTGAAGAAACGTTATGTGGGTAAAGAAATACAGTACCTAAATACTAGAATACGATAATGAGGAAATTAAAAATAATTCAAGTGCTCATGAAAGCCGTAAAATACGAACCCGATCATTAGCAGGCCTGTAATAGAAGCTTCCATCCGGAAGACCCAATTTCGGTTGGGATATCTGCAACAAAAACACACAGACTCGATATTTACCTCAGAAAAACTTCGAAACGTTAAAATTTTCGACTGGACCACGAGATAACCTTGACAATATTCATTCCAATGTTGGTGTCATCCGGTACCACGGAAATCGAAAACAAGGGTTCCACATGGTACTTCGCATGCAAGCGACGAAGGGTCAAATCCTTGTCGAAGCTATTCCTATTCCAGTTCCTAATTACAGCCCATCCGCCTGAAATAAGAGCGAAGATCACGATAAGAGCAATTGCAAGCTCATCACAGATGCAGAAGTAATGCGTTTTTTTCTGGATTTGCAGGGTATCAGAATCGAGGACTTCCTGAACGATCACCAAATTTTCTGGAATATTGCGAATCGATCGAAAATGCGACTTACACATTACAGCAATTTTTCTTTACTTTATAAGCTTAAGCATGAAGATGGATGTTAGAATCCAAAGAATCTTATAATCGGTCAAATACGGTACTTCAGTGAAAAAAAAAAAAAACCGTGGATAACAACGCCACGAGCAAAAACTGGAACCGGTTTACCTCAATGATTAAATCGCCCAAAGGTACATGAACACGGTGATACGATCAACGTTTTGGATAAACTGGAATACAGTACAGAATCTTGGATAATGAAAAATAAACGCTGAATCTCTTCGTCACATCATCTCAGCAACAGTGATAAGCATCTGACCACCGAACCACTCCTATCCAAGGACTAACAGACTTCGAAACAAAATTATCACCAGAATTGCTTCAGCAACATTTCGGTAGAAAAAAAAAGGAACGAACAGGACTCACCAAGTTCTCTGATATCATCCTTCAGGTATCTTGCTCCATCAATATTTATGTTTTCCAGATCCATGCAGGAACTGTAAAACGTAACCATATTCCAGTCTAGTCCTTCAGGATCCATGGGTTGCGGCAGTGTGTTCAAAATTGTCCGATACTGCATTAGGGCTGAAAAACGACAAAAACCACACGTAATGTTAAGCAGTAAAGAATTGAGGAATCCAGAGGTTTTCCAGCATACTTTCAGATCGAAGCTTCTGAAGAACGCTCCAGCTAGACTCCGTTGAGGGAATAGGATTGTTGGCCACCCAATTCCCGCAAGAAAATTCCCAGATATTTTCACACGGGATGACGCCCATGCTAATGCTTGAACGAAGCTGAAAGCATGAGACAGTTTAGTTTATAACTGGCTAGAAATTGAATACAGTACTAGTAATTACGTACCGCGGCGCTTGATTCGAGGCACGCAGGTTCCAAACATATTTGAGACTCGTCGAACGTGCGTCTCTCTGATAATCGGGCGGCAAGAATTATCACAATTATGAACAGGAGTAACGCAAGAGCTATCATTCCAAGAATACCGATACGAGATTCACGACGGACAATGCCGAGCTTCATGAAAAACTTATCATATCGCCCAAGCGGTTCGCCTGGCAATTCTACATCGCCACGGCCATCGACCGCAACCAGCGCATCGGAATGTCCATCATCACCATTTTCATTTGATGCATCTTGACCGTTCGATTTCTTCGAACGATTCGAAGTTTCCGGCAGTTTGTTCTTCGACTTCCGTTCCAAAAAAAGGGCCATATTGCACAGTCACGAACGATCACATGCAAGTCGATACGAACGATTGCCAATGATCGCGATGTGAATATGTACCTACATAGGTGCTGAGCCCCAGAAATAGTACAGTTATTCAATTAAGACGATCAATTTCGCAGGAATGCACGAAAATCAGACAAAATACAATCGTTTCACATCATGCTTAGACCAAACCCAAGCATGGAGGGCTTTTAAGTACATAAGCACCCTTTTACGCTCACAGAGAGTTCTTTCCTCACGTTCACTGAGATTTCTTATCGAGGAAATACTCAAATTGAACTCGGTACGAGTTAAAAACACGTCGAGTACTACAAGACGTCTGAGCATTACACAGTAATTATCACGCAAAACATTGAATTCCGAAGTTTACCAAGAGCAATGCTGAACACGAGAAAAACACGGCACAGGTAAGCATTGCCGGCTGTACAAAGCAGGAACCTGGTCCAGTTTCAATGAAATACGTGATGCACAGGAAATTATCTCGAATTTATGATTTAAATTATTTATTTCCATTTTTAAGTTAAAAATACATAAAAATCCTGATAACGCTACACAAATGTTTGCACAGTACTCGTTTAACCACTGACGAGTAGAGTGCTACTGGTCATCCGCTTGCTGATCCCCGCGCAAACTTACTGTGGGTTTCAGCTCATGTTTCAGGGCAGAAAGATTTGGTTGGTGGTGGAGTTGATTCACAGTGAATCATCCATTAAATGATCTGTTGTCTGACGGAATGATATTTTTCGTGAATTATTTTACTACGAGTGTCTGAAATGTGGAATTGTCAGAAATGTTCAAAACCCGTGTTTTTTGGTGAGCATTATTGGTTCCGGTAAAGTCTTACGAAATAATTAATTCGAACAAAATTTTTAGCCGAGCGGAAGCAATCCATGGGATTTATGTGGCATCCGGATTGTCTCAGATGTGAAGAATGTGGAAAGCGATTGAATCCTGGTCAACACGCTGAGGTTTGCTGTGAATTTCAGAATTCGTCTTTGTTTCAGTTGTTCTGATGCTAATTAAAATTACAGCACCGAGGATCACCATATTGCCATATCCCGTGCTATCCTGCCCTTTTTGGACCTCAGCTCTTTGGACATGGCTCGAAGGTGGAATCGCACTCTAGTTTTGGAAAGAATAAGTCAACCCCTGATAATATAAAGAAGTGAGCAAAACACTGGATGTCATGAATATTGTGACACTCGTTCATTTCCTTTTGTATTCGATTTACGCCGGAATTCAAAGATCTCATCTCGAATCTAAAGTTCGATTGTACAACCAATTCTGGGAAGGACGCAGAGGAGAGCTCAGTGTCAGGGAGGTGAATGGAAGGCTGGTTCTTGAAGGTGTTCTCCGAATTTATTGGAACGTATCTCAGGTACGTTTACAGTCATATCTACTAAATAGATTTCTGGCTATTTGTTTCATGTTATTACAGGAAATAAGACTGAAGGAGGACGACGATAGACGTATTCGAATACAGGCTCAAAAGCGTCAGTCTTACAGACTAGCGCTTGAGGACGATGGAGAGGGTGTCTCTCCGGAAGACACGTGTATTTCAGATGTTCTGATTAAACCGAAATCTACTTTGTCGTTGTCTGCTCGTACTCTACCATCTGGCCTAAGCATTGATTCAGTGCAGAAGATTTACCCATCCGATGGTGGCTATGAAGATGAGGTATGTTAACTTGGACCGCAAACATTCTTCGTCTTTTCTATATGTCATCCCGTCTTATTTGTATCCATCCGATCGACAGCATTATTTCAGAGCAGCCTTGATTTCCAAACCCTTGATTATTCTCGATACTCTTCAATTACACCAGAAAATCGGCAATTTGTGAGATCAAAATGAACGTTGCTAATCCAAAGAGAAGGAGAGGTTTTTGAGATGCAGACGCGTTATTCACTTCGTTTTTCGTTTTGCCGATAAATGAACATGCTTGTTTTTTAGGCGGGCCCAGCTTCGTTGGAATCGGAAAATTTGAATGATCATTCGGACGTGAAGGACCAAATCGAGCTTGATGTGACAAACGATGATGTGACGAAAGTGGCGAAAGTCTTGTTGCGGCGTCGCCCCGGAAGGAAAATGACGCGTTCTCCGTTGAAGCGACGAAAATCAATGATCAACGGGCATTGCTACGACGTGACAACGAGTACTTTCACTCCTCCAACTGGAAGTGTCGCGTTCATATGGGTTTCATCGATGGTTAACGCTTCAGAAGTCGTAAACATGCTTCTGGAGAAATATAAAATTCAGTCTCCAGCCGAAAACTTCGCTCTGTATGCCGTCTGGGACCATGGAGGTGAGTTTTTTTCAAATATTTTTTTCCTGTGTGTGTAATTTTCGTGTTTAGTAGAAAGAAAAAGAATCGTGCACCCGTCGAGTTTGGGCTTAAACTTACCTTAGCTGTAGTAAATGCTTGCGGAAACGGATTACATTTTTGTCCCGGGAAGACTATTTTAGTTAGGCCTAAATTTTGGTGCAGTTCTTTTTTTTTTTAATCGTGAGGACATTGCCCGAGTAGAATTTCCCTGCTGATTTTTTTTATATGATTTCCCAAGATGAAGATGCGTGAATGTGCCCTGTGTGTTGTTGCTAGTGTGATTTAAAGTAGATACTGTACTGTTTTTAGTTTCTAAAGATTGTGAACCCAGTCCTCGCAAATTTTCTAAATTCCATTTCATGCCATTTTCTCCAACGATTTTCGGAGAAAAGCAAAGGACTAGGCAGAGTATAGCTTGATGACCTCTCACTTACAGTATTGCGGTTCATTTGATTACCATAGATTATTTTCAAGATGGTTCGAAAGATTTCTGACGCGCAAAATTTAGTCCCAATACTGTTTTTTTTAAAAGCCGCACGATACAAAATTTCTTACGTTAAATTTTGTGCTTTTCAGGGAGGCACGTCGAGAGAAAATTGATAAACTATATATTTAACCAATTTCATGGGACTTTAAAGGTTTGGTTCAGTTCGAAAGTTGTGTGTCACTGAAATCTTCCTGGCAGTGTCAAGGCAATCGACAAAATGGGAGTTCTGTCCAATTTTCTATATTTTTTTTAATCGATGGATTCGCGAACCTTGCGTACTTTATTTTGTGCTAATGCTTATGGAACTTTTCCCATTCACTCATTGAGAAATTTTTTTTATCTTGCGCTGAACATTTTGTGGTGGAGTGGCATCGTGTTTTCCTCGATGAACGTTGAACACACCCATTTCGCCTTGTGAAACTTTTTTTGTCAATCCAAAACAAACAAAAAAAGAATTAGAAAACATTCTTGGAGTTCGTGAAACAAATACTGTCGATATTTTCACAGCTCCGTGTTCAAGGTTGATCATGTCGTGATTTAAAAAAAATGAAGTCCTGTTTCTTTTTCTGTTTTTAGAGCAACGCGAGTTGAAAAGCGAAGCATATCCACTTCTGGAACGGGTTTATTACGGTCCAAATGAAGATGTTGTCAAGCTCTACATCATGGACCGTGAACGCGGATCTGACATTCCGCCAGAGGTGTCTCAATATCTCAATTTCTCTCTCACTGAGCTGTCTATGTTCATCGAGGCGTTTTATGACGAAGAAGAAAGGGAAGTGGCGCGAATACAAACCAAGTATCGTCACGAAAAGTTCGTTATACAAAGGAGAATGATGCAGGAACGAGCTAAACCCGACGTTTTCCAAAGCGTCAAGCTGTGAACACGCGTTTCGATAAGTTCTCAGCTCGACACTTGTAATACTTGGGTATCTGGGTAATTGAGTGATTCTCATGGGACAGAGCTTATGTGATTCAATTTATACGCCTTCCGAGGATCTTGCTGTGACTCGCTTCTGTAACGGATCTTTTATTTTGTCAGCTCAGTTTTTTGACCAGTATTCTTCGGAGAGCATTTTTCAATTGTTGAGTTTATTGATTGTGATGGGCTTGTATTACTAGAAATAAATATTCCCGGTCACATGGATTTTTGAATCGCTAAATAATTTCTCGCCGGAATTGAGGCTGAAATGCTTGGTGGGTCTTTTTTTTCACCTCTTTTAGCTAATGAAAAACTTGTATTTTTGTATGTTCTAGTCCCCTATTGACCTTTAAAAGACAAACCATGTTTCATTGGAATAAAATCATGACAATTTCCGTATGTATTGAAATATAAGAAGCCGTCTCCCTTTTTTGCTTTGTACTTTAATTCCAAAATGAGGATAATTTGAGAATTCGAGACGTGCTTACATGACTTTCAATTTATTCGGAAATAGAGTGGTGATTTTTCTCATGTTTTGATCACCTGGAGCAGTGCGAATAAAAATGAGGGACCTAACTCTTTAATTCTTAGGCTGATTTTGAGAGGTTTTTTTGATCACCTGCTGATGTAAGACGCTCTCTGATTACCTTTGCCAATTTTTTTTAAAAACTGAAATTGCCTCTGATTTTCGATACGATTTGGCAGTTATTGTATGTTGGTCGCATGCATGCTAGAATGAAATTATAGTGGTCCGGAGCATGCTCAAAAAGCATCGTTTTGTTTATGGAGTTACTCTTTTTTTATTCATTTTTCCCTTGTCCTGACAGGAAAACTGTTATGTGAAGTGCTTGAGTTTAATTTGTTTCCCGTTTGAATATTTTTCCAAGGTGAGTGAATGCTTCCTTTTTTTCAATCCTTAGAAAAGTGTAAGTTTTGAAGTGTTTTATAGACTAGGAAAGATGGACGACTTTCCCGACGAAAATGAAATCTTGGATTACCACGAGCAAGAATATCAGATTATGTTGGAAAATGAGAGACAACTGCAATCTGAGTCTTCCGTTGCTCGTGAAATCAACAAATCGCCTGTGAAAGAATCCCCATGGACAGGTAGCGAAAATCTATTCGACAGTCCTGCTCGTCTGAGAATCGTTGAAGGTAAATTATCTTCACTTATTATATTTTTTTCTTTGAGACGAATAGTGTGTTGAAATTATGATGTGAAATTAATACAGTACTCTGAATTTTCAAAAACTAGATACTGTAGTAATCAAAATTTGCTAAAATGGCTCGAAACTGCATGTCACGGGAAGAAAATGATTCCCATTTTACCCGATTGCGTTTCTTGAATTCATTTTTGATGTGGATTATTTTTTCATGATGAATTTCCTTAAAATTTGTCCCGCCTTTTCACTTTTAGTCAAATGCGACGAAGAATACTCGTAGAATCTCATTGAATTTACTTTAAATTGGGGCCAAGATTTATTTCCAACTTCGAAGTTTTTTTTTGCTTTGAACGTCCAATAAAAATGAATTTTTTAATTGAACTTGTGGTAACCTAATACTGAGAACTCTCGTTACTTACATCGTGTCACTGGTAGGAAAATTGAGGGTATTGAAAAGCTCTTCTCGTGAATATACAGTTCAGAACAAGCAATTGGTTTTTTGCTGAGATTTTTCATCGCTCAAAGTGCGAAGGGTCGTTAATTTCTTGTTAATTGGACGAAGAACGAAATCGTCGATTTGATCAGCTTTTTAACCAAGTTGGGAAAACGCTAATTTTTAGGTCGCTGAAAAACTTGCGAGCGTACGTTTCCCTTGGTGTACGTTTCAAGGACCGTTTCAAAGTTGTGATTGAAAATGTCTTCAGATTCTTCACCCATGCGGACACCGATATTGTCGGAGGTCCAGAATGTAGCTGCTGAAACTCACAAAGTGAAGCGTTCGTTGCAAGAAATTTTGGACGAGGCCAAAGAATTGGCGGAGCATGCGAAGCGTAAGAAAACTGAGGAGCTTCCGTCGGAAGATGTGCGCATCATGAAAGCCATTGCGCAACTTCGAAATGCCCGGAAGGAAGCGGAAGAAGAGTCGGCTCTTATGTTCAGTCATAATCGGCAATTCAAGTGAGTATTTTGCTGTTCTGAAAAAAAATGAAAGCCCTCGTTGAACCTGTGGATGCCTTTTTATTTAGTTCTGTTTATGCTGTCTTGGCGAATGAATATACAGTAGTATAGAAGCTCTGTGAGGAAAATTTCATCGATGGATCTGTGTAACAGTTTTTCATTATATGTTTATTTATTTTTTAATCAAGAAACTTACTGCTACCCAGTTTTTGTGGAATTGTAGAATCTCTGATTCTTGAGTGAAATTTTGTTCGGAATTTCTTCTTTTTCTCGCAATAAAATGTTTCATCCGTTCCAGCGAGAAGTTCATTTACGGACAAACGATTGACGGAGTTATGTGAAGCTATGTTGATAGCATATTTTTCCGTGTTCCCGAATGGTCCCTTATTCGAGTGAAGTAAAGCTATACGAAATCTTCAGTTTTTTTTTTTTCAAATTTTCGTGGAAATCTTCCTCGTGTGTTCTTGAATAAACTATTGAAGGAATGAATTTTCAACGCAAATTTTCAGATCTCTCTGGCAAAAACAATCTGAAACACGGTAGAAAATTTTCAACTTCATTGAGATCATGAAAAAATTCCATGTGTACAGTACAGTAAAACCTAGATACAGTACAGAGAAGCTCTTGGGACCTTGAGAAACCCCGTTACGAAGAAAAGTTCATTTATGAGGAGCCTCAAATAACATAGTGGCTACATTGGAGGGACTTCAGAGATAAATTTTGTTCCATTAACAACTCACTGATGGGTCCAACGAACAAAGTCGTTGTAATGAGATTCTACTGTAATTATTTTTAACGAGATTTAACAGTAGGAAAAAAAACATGATGGTAGTTGCCACGTTTCTTGCAGTTCAGTATTTTAATTTTGATCGACTATCTGATGTAAAAATCGATGTGAGATCTTCAATCCATTGTGCTGATAATCTATTATGCGATTCATCCTTTTTTTCTTTGGGATTACACGGTTGATTATTTTAAAGGAAGCTCGAAGAACCGACAATATTTCGCCATCCACCAGAGAAATCTTTCGTCTCGATCCTGTGTCCGAAAACGTCTCGTCTCTGTTATGCCCTCTTGAAAGACGACGACGAGTTCGCGGAAAATTCGAAAATCGTTCGTATTTATTATCCCTTATCGCTGTGATTATCGCTTGTAAGTTGTAACCACTCTTGTTTTATAGACAGTCGGACCTGATGCCGCGAAAAATCTACTGGACGTCCAGTACGCAGATCTGAAGCTAATGGCCGATCAGGAGGTATGTTCTTTTTCCTGTATCTTGTATAATTAGTGCCTCGACGCGTGAACTTCTGTTTTGCGCTTATAACTGGAATAAAGCCTCTGCATTTATGCACACTGTGAAAGATATTGAGCAAGTTCAGCCCTTTGGAGGTCCAGCTTTCTCCATTGATGACTAACGTTTTTAATTACGGATCATTCGTTGAATTAAACAGAGGATGAACCGTTTGAAGCGTCTCGAGCGCAGTGTAAACGAGGAACCTCGGGAATCTTCGGATGCTGATGAAAGCAATGACGATGGCGAGTCTTCTTTGTGGGTCGACAAGTACAGACCGAAGAGCTACATGGACTTACTCAGTGATGAGGTACGTATTTTGGCGAATAAATCACGAAGCGTTTCTCGTAATTATACTGTATGGTATATGTAATTGTTTCCTGGCTGGCATTTTGTTCTCCACTCAGAATGTGAAGAACCGTTAATTTTTAGTCAATTGGGCGAAGAACGAAGTCATTGATTGGTTTTTTACTTTTATTGACTACCATGCGAATTTCGAAGTCGCAGAGCAAAATTTAATATGAATGAACAGAACTCTTCATTTTCCGCTTTTCAGCGTTCACAAGGTTCAATCAAGATTTCCACAAACAAACCCCCTTCTCACCCAACCCAAATCCAGTCAATGACATTTTAATCACTTCATAGCAGGAACGCACAAATTGATAACAAAAATAAAAGAAAATATGATACAACATGAAATACAATTGGACATCTGACATGTATGCATGCACCCACTCATTTCCTGACATTGAAAACAAAATAGCAGTAAAAGTTTATTTAAAGCACAAGGTCTTCAGCTTGTTTCTGTATGAGGTTTACTTGAATGAACAAATTACAGAGAATCTTTGATGAGAAACCATATAAAGCCAACAGTTTATCTTGATCTTTTAACCCTTCTGCAGCTAAGTTGGACTTTTTTTGCAGATTTTTGTGGCACTCCAGAGTGGAATTAAAAAAAAACCCCCAACAGTGTGTGCAGGGCAAAGTCTGGAAAAATCCTGGCATTTTTTAAATTTTCCACAGAAAAATTTCACCTGAAAATGAAAAAATGAAAGCTTCAAGGCTCCCTTTTTCCCTGGCCTTGTGTTGTTTCCCCCATTCAAAGATTAAATTTAAGCTTGACAGGAGCCCAGGTTGGAGGTCAATACGGAAAAAGTCCAACTCAGGACTTTCCCAGCATTTCATTATCCCCAGAAAAAGTCTGACTTTGCCCTCCCCCACCTAGCAGGGGTTGCATAACCTTGTGCAAAAATATAATGCACACCCATCAGGAAAAAGTCCAACTTTGCCCTGGGATGGAAAGGAGGCTGCCACTGTCCAAGGGTTAAGATCTCAGAAAGGGTCTCTTCATTGAATTCCTGTACTTGTAAATATATATTAAGCTTGTTTATATCAGTGTGAAATGCTGGACATAAGAAGAGAAGGTGATGCTCTGGTGATGTGCAAACTAACGTATTTATACTGCAGGTGTTACGCCACTTAAAAACTTCTGAAAATCGGATGAATTTTTTACTAAAGTGAGATGAATTTGTTGAAAACAATAATGTGCAATTGAAATAAAAGCAAACTGTACGGTTGGACCTTATTACTGCTAACTCAATCCTAACCCTTTTCATTTTTTGTTTAGTCTCTGTTATTTGAATTCTCCAATGAACAATATAGAGCTGAGCCTCAATGACTCAAACCTTCCTGAAACAAACACAGCATGAATAATTCAAATTTTTTAAACAATTTTTTCCTATGACATTTTAGAATTATACGCTAATAATTGAAATAATATTCATAAACGATGGAAATTTTTAGTATTTATGCCCTTTTTACCTTCACCAACAAATGAAGCGCAGATGCGTAACTTTATGCAAATCTGGAGAGATTTTATCAAGTTTTTGATCAATTTTCTATGCCTAAAAAATATGAAAGACTGACTCCCTACACTTTTCAGAAACCTTTCAAATATTCTATGATACAGTGCACAGAAAGAAAAAGTCCAGCATTTCATATGGATAGAAATCAGCTTAAGAAAGATTTAAAAGTACTGAAATTCAATGAAGAGACACTTTCTGAAATCTTAAAAGATCAAGATAAACTGTTGGCCTTATATGATTTCTCATCAAAGATTCTCTCTAAATTGTTCATTCAATTAAACCTCATACAGAAGCAGGTTGAAGACCTTGTGCTTCAAATAAACTTTTACTGCTACTTTGTTTTCAATATTGGGGGATGGGTGATGGGTGTATATGCATATGTGTCCAATGTCCAGTTTTATTTTTGGAGTGTGTTCTCTTTTGTTTTTGTCATTGGTTTGTGCTTTGTTTCCTGCTTTGAAGTGATTGAATGTCTTTGGGGGGAGTTGGGTTGGGTGGGGAGGGGGTTTGGATGCATGAGTCTTGGTTGTGCCTTGTGAATGCTGAAAAGCGGCAAATAAAGTGTTCTGTTCATTCATTCAAGAAAAATTTTGCCAGCTTTTATCCAGTGAATGCAAGACCGCCTGTTTCAATAATTTTTTTTTGCTGAATATATCACAGCTTTCAAATGTCGAAAGAATCAGATGAGATACATTTTAAAAAGCTGACTTTCTTTTCCTTTTTCCTCGTCGGATTGCATCCAAGTGCGATATCCCCGAAAAATCTCCATCGAAGACGCACAGAATAACTTGTTGCACTTCAAAAGCGTCATTTCCCTTGCAAATCCGACTTTCCGCCTCTTTTCTTTATTTTTAAAATGGATCCGGTATTCATGACCCGGGTGTCGTGCCGATCTGAATCCTCGTCTTCTTTTTTTTTTTACATTTATCTATCTCGTAACATATAAATAAAACTCTGTTACCACCTCCCCCCTCTTCTTCTTTACTTATAAGGTCTCTCTTTCCTCCTTGCATATAAGCAGTTGAATGCTGATGAAAGTCGTAGTCTCGACACTCGAAAAATAAATGCATGCTGTGAGGAAATCCCCTGGCATCGATTCAGTCGCATTGAATTTCACCCTCCGACCGACATGCAAAAAAGGCCACCAGGAATGAAACGCGTCTGTTGACAAGCATCTCCATCCAAGGAATACAATACCAGTTTCCAGGTGAGAAGAGTATTGTGTACATACGCAGAATGTCCAGAGACTGAATTACTCACAGATATTCTATACACGAATTCAACCCTGTCCGTCGATTTTTCATGAATGAAATATTCTAGTATGCTGGTGGAAAATGCCGCAATAAACAAACGGGGCGGAATTTTATATTGAAAAAAAAGTAATGCCAAAGAGGGGAATAAAATGTGCGCAGGAAGGACAAAGCTAGTGAAAATGACTCAGCAGAGGAAAAATATTTGCAGGCAATTTGAGTAAAGCAGAAAAAACGTACAGTTGTGAAGTACAGTGGAGCCTCTTTCAAGTCAAAATTCAAGAGATCAGCAAAAACTGAATAAATTTCTGGTTGGGGAGGTTTCCATTTATCAGGGAAACAAGCATTTATGTTGGGAAAAGAAAGAAATTACAGGAAATTGTCATTGGTGATGTTCTGGTCCTTGAATTGCTTCTTGAATAAGTTGACATGATGCTGAAGTTGAAGGCAAGGGTTAATTTGCCCAATTAGTCTTTCAGTTCCTTACAAAACTCATCATTTTTATTGCATTCCAATATTTGACATTCCAATATTTGACCATTATGCGATTCAACATTCAAATATGCTCAGACATTGACTTGCAATTTGACCTCTTGCCCAGCAATTTAACCTGCATATAGAGATTTGACTCAAGATGTCAAATTTGGCATAGAAAACATTTAATTTGACATTGTCTTGCAATTTGACCACTTTGTAATTTGAACCTTACCCAGCAAAAGATTAGGGTACAATTTCAAGACACCACCTGTACCTTTTCTGGACCAGTTTTCAACTTAAATTTTTATTGCATTTCTCTTTCCTCTCTCGATAGTCAAAATACCTGCAGATTAATTGTGTAATGGAGTTCTGAAGGAGGAAAGACTTTGACGTGGAGAGGTTTTTCATGCATTATTGTTTCACAAAAATATTTCAGGGAGGAACTCGAAAAAAATTGAAATAAGGAATAGGCATTCGATTTAGAGCGGTTTGAGTTTTCGATCGAGGGTCCACTGTATTACGTGCTAATCAAAGTACTGCATCATTAATAAATGTAGCCTTTCTATAATTTTTTTTCTTGGAACCTAAAAATCAGAAATAAAATTATATATCGGCGGTGGAAATCACGCATGAATAGCAAATGAGTTTATTATTAGAATATTCTGAAAGCGCAGCAATTTTTATCGATTTAGTCGTCATGGGACCTCAATTTAACTTCTCAACATTTATATTTTTGTGTAAATTTTCTCCCAATGCAATTTTTAATCGAGACACTTGCCTCCGACGCATGCTTTTACACTCATGACGTCAAGGGGAAGACACGTGATTTATTTGTTTGCATTTTGTGACACAATTGCGAACCAAACCCACGTATATTGCTTGCCTCGTAAAACAATAAAGCCAAGCGAGTTTTACTTGATTCATGACGATCCTCAGATACCCTGCGGATGA